AGCGGGGCAGGCCGCGGGGACCGGGCCGCGGGGCAGGAGGGGCCTTCGGGCTTCCCCTGCCCCACCTGCAGGGGGACGAGGCCATCCCGAGCAGAGGCACCGCCGTGATCACCTTCATCTTTCCATCCCTCAGCGGCACCAGGAGTACCTGAAGATGCTGAGCGAGAGGGAGGAGGCGCTCGGTACGTGCTGGCCGGTGGCGGGCGCTGGGCCCAGGGCAGCAGCGGGAGGGGCGGGAGGTGGGTGCCCGTGGTCTGACACCCTTGGCTGGGTGATCAGAGCTGGAGCAGGGATGCTCACGCATCGCTCCGCTCCTCACTCGTACCCCTGGGAAGCTGGGCAGCGATCTGAGTGGTGACCCCTTCCACCCTCTGTCCCTGGTGGGAAAGGGTTAGGCGGGTTGTACAGAAAGAAACAGGAGGACATCTCCAAGGAGCTAACCAGATTCCCCTCTGCTGGGAGAAGGGGCTTGCCCCTTCATGTTTGTAGTGCCAGTGTTCAAGACCCTCTGCCCTCTAACCCTGCATGCAAAGGCTGGGTCTCCCACCCCCAGTGTGGCAGTGCAGGAAGGAGCTGCTATACCTTGTGAAAACTTGGGCACTTTTCAGTGCAGGATTTCTTGTCTCCCCAGATGAGGCTGATGAATTGGAGCACTTGGTGACGTCGCAGACAGAGTCTGTAAACATCGACCACCCAAACCACATTGTAACAGTGACCACCATCAGTGACCTGGACCTCTCAGGAGCACGCCAGCTGGGACTGACCAACCCTGTGGTAAAGCCTCTTATTGCTTCTCTGGTTGTATCAGCTGTAAGCATTCCTGGGGCTAGTTAGGTAGGGCTAGTACTCCCTAAATATGCCCAAAGACATGCAGCAGGTTAAAAGGGAAACCCATAACTTTCACATTCCTCCACAACTTGTGTTGGGCCTCTAAAGAAAAAGAAATGTCCTATGTGAACAGCTCACTCCAAACCCTCCCTGGAATCTTTTGCCTAGTCCCAGTAGACCTTGTGTAAGTGAAAGGTGCCACAAGGCTGGATGGGGAGAATGTAGTATTTTAAAAGCAGATACACCGCAAGCAGCAAGATTTCAGGCTTTGCTGCATGGGCTGTCCTCAACCTCTTTCCTGTGTCCTGTCCAGGAAAAATTACTATTAGCATGAGGAGGGATTTCTCTCTCCATGATCCTGTGCTCAGACCACAAATAAGGAAACCATTCAGTTGCGGTTGCTTTTATTCTCAAAACCTATTGTAACTGAGATCTCGTATTTGTTTCATAGAGGCTCTCAAGTACTGGTTGACTCGATCCTTTTGATCTTCATGACTCATGGTTGGATTTGAGCTCTTTGGGGAAGTGTCTGTGTTAACCTTGTACATTTGTAAGGTCATCTTCTAATCCGAAAATCCACTTAAAGAGGTTTTGATAGTAATTTAAGAAAAGCTGAAACCTTCAATTCATAGTGTAGACTTCAGTTGCATGGCCATTAAGATCATGTTGAAGTTTTTGGATCTTAGGGTGGATTACTGTAGGATTTCTCACTGGTTGTCCCTTTCTGAGGGACTGTGATAAGAAACCTTGAGATTCAGACAGCAAGGCATGCAGAGAACTAAAAGCCTTTATCCATGACTAGATGGTTCACAAAACATGGTGAAACTGTGAATGCAGCAGAAACACTGGAATTGCAAGACTGCCTGTTTTGATGTGTCTATATGCATTTTTTTTCTCTTTTACTTCCTTTTCAAGGGAAAAAGCGATGGATCAGAAGAAGAGAAAGGGGAAGAGGTGGTGAACAAGCCTGTAAGAACAATGCCCAAGAAGTCCAGAAACCCCTTCCTGTCTGAAAAGTATGTATAAATTTATTCAACTTTTTGCTGCTAGGCTCTGCAAGCTGGGATCTTGCATTCCCAGATCAGCAGTGTGGTTGCAGGGAGGGGATGCTGTGCTGCTTCGGCGCCTGTGGGCAGGAGCCAGCAGAGGGCACTGGCAGAACACAAGCCTGCCTGGATGCTCCATTCCCCTAACATCGATCCATGGTGACAACAGCAGGAGGAGGAGGAGGAGGTTGCGGTGCAGGGCAGGCTTTGTTTACCTAGTCCTTCTCCAGATATTGTAGGCGAGGGTGTATTGCAGGGTGCAGAGTTTGTCTCTAGGATTGAAGGTCAAAAGACCCTAAAGCTTTGGCATTCTCCACATTTTTCAGTATCCAGGATTTACAGCTGCTTTGGGGATTCAGAGAATTACTTAACTCTGTGGTGGCTAGCCAGCCCACTGCTCAGAAAATTCATTTTGGTGGTTATTGCATATATAGACTTGCAGGTTTCCTGCCCTGTCAGGATGATGCCCAGCACAGTGGAGTTGCCCCAGGCCTTGCCACGGCTGGTGTCCACTCCTGCTGGGCCACACAGGGCTCTCCTGCTGTTGTTGTGGTGTTGCCTTGCTGCCACAAACTTTGGTCCCCCAACATATCTCTCTTCCTGCCCTGCACAGGATCTCTTCCCTTACTGCCACACTGCACATGCACAGCCGGAAAAAGACGAAAGGAAAGAGACCCCAGCGTGGGCAAGGCCCACGCAAGAAAATCCAGAAATCCAGCACAGGGCGAACCACTAAGACTCAGCGACGGAGGCTGACAGGAAAAATGGGGCGTGACCAAGATTAATGGAGAAACTAGTGCTTGGACCAGCAGCTGGGACAGTGTTCCACATCTGGCCTGCTGTTCTGCAGAGCGCCTTCATCGTGGGCAAGGGCCTTGTTTACTTGGCTTGCTGACCAGCAGTGAGCCCAGTTCAGCCTTTCTCTCGCCTCCTGAGCACTGGCCAGGGTGACTAGACACTCTAGCCATTTATTTCTGCAGTGATCTCCAGCTAAGTGCCTGGGTGCCACGGAGTCTGCTTCTGCTGGGGGTCAGCTTCTCTGTTTGGCGTAACCCTTCTGTCCTTGGGCCTCCCCTTCCAGAGCTGATACTTGGCTTTATCAAAGGAGAGGATCTGGAGCTGAGTGCAACAGGCTCATTGTCAGGGCAATTGATGGGACCGAGATCTGCTTCCATTCATGTGTCGGTGCCCTGACACTCCTGCTCTGCGGTAAATCCTTTGTCCATGGAGACATGGTGTCATCTTGTCTCATGTGTTTTTTCTCCAGTGCCACACCTGACTGCAGGGATACCTTTTATTTGGTACCTTTGCCAGGTAAAAGTTGATAACTTTGTGAATAAATGTTTATTAAGTCATTTTTGCTAAGAGAAAAATACTTGTGACTACTTTGAAGCATAACAGCAACTGTGCTAACACCAGCACCAGCTGGAAAGAGGGAAGATGATTCCTGATGCTTAAAGGATATTGAAATCCACTGGTGCTTGGGAAATGGAACAGAAAACTTATTCCATTGTCTGCTGAACATGCTGATCGTAATTGCAATAGCTCAGAGGAGCATGAAATGCCCTAGTACCCTTGCTGTATGTGTGTGGCCCTCTCCAGGATGGGAGCGGCAGAGGCTGCCCTTTACCTCAGGGCTGCTGCAGTCATCGGCAGTTAATTGCCTTGCTTTTTGGGACCTCAGTATATGTTTTTTAGCATGGAAGCCTTCAGCGAGGGTGGGGGAATGTTTGCATGGTTGGGGTTGAGGAATGCTGGTGGTAAAACTGGGGGTGAATCCTCTGAGGGGGAGAGTGAGCCTAGGCAGAGAGCTGGCCTCTGTCCTCGAGGATCTGTAGGAGATGGTGGCTATTCTGCCTCTGGCAGCCAGGCCGCTCCCTTGCCACATGTCAACTGGTGAGGAAAAGACAAAGGGAAAAAAGGCCTTTGTGGCCAAAACCCACACCAGAAAATTGGCAATGCAGCAGCGAGCAAGTAGATAGATTCCCCATGCCAGAAGTGGGAGGGGGAAGAGTAAACCAGTGCCTGAGGCTTCTTGGAGGAACATCAGAGCAATGCTGATGGCCACCAGGCAGGAACAACAGAGCAATGCTGATGGCCACTAGCCGCTAAAGCTGATGCATCTCTCCTCATTTCTTGGACCATGCCTTCAGAGTGTGTGTGGGGGGGGGAGGGGGGAGCGGGGAGCTGATCTTGATGCTGGGAGCAGCTATGCAATTTCTGCTCAGGGCACATTCCTCTGGAGGGAGCTGTGTGACATGCTTGTGGTGAGGAATGGAGTCCTTTTTGCACCTCCCTATCTTTTCTGAAGAAGGTAAACGGTGGTGAAGCGGATACTGTTATCCCATGTGCCCCAGGTGCCTTGTGTGCTTGGACTCTGTGTCCCGTCCTGAGCTGGGGCTTGGTGCTCTCAGGCTCTAATTCTGAATAACCCTGATCACATCATAAAACTGCAGAGTGTGTGGCTTCCTCACCTTCAAAACAGCCGTGGTGATCTCTTGTTCCGCCTTAAAGGCCACTCCAGAAAGCTCGATGTGTGACCTCGCCCATCTTCCTGTCTCGCCTCGGGGTGCTGGGTGTTTCAGAGATGCAGAAACACAACTTGGGGGCAAGGCCGAAAGCGATGCATCCAGTGTCCAAGTGGTGCTGTGTGTGGAGCACAAAGCGTTTCTTCGTGTGGTTTGGGAGTTAGATGCTCTAGAGCCATTCTGTGGTGGTTGGGTTTCAGAGGGGTTGTAGGAGGGAAGGAGAGGGAAGTCCTGTTTGGAGCGGTGCGCCATGCCAAGGGGACTGCGGCTCAAAGCTGGAGGACGGTGTGTGACTCCTTTATTCTGGGGTCATACAGCAGCTTTCTCTTCTCCCTGGGACATAGTGCCTGGTGGAGTGACAGTGGGCAGAAGGTGACTTGCACTTGCCCCCACCCCAGGAGATGGCTACTGTTGAAGAAATGTACAGTTCGTCTGCAAAATCTGCTGAAGCGTGGAGCATGAACTGTGGGTTGGGTTCCCTTCTGCAGGCTGTGGGCAGCCTGGCACGGTAGCCGGGACGGCGCTGGATTACCTCTTTATAACCCCGCTGGGATGTTAAGAGTGACCTCAACAGCACTTCAGCGTTTGTTATTCTGCTGCCAGGTGGTTTAGAAGAATCTCTCTTTTAGTTTGTGTCCCTGGCCCTAATAACTTCCCAGCCCTTCTCAAGTGTCAGCTGAAATCTCCAACGGCCTCTGCCGTGCTCTGAAGGCTTCCAGTTCCTCATGGAAGCTGTGTTTTCACACTTTAAAAAAAAAAAAAAAAAAAAAATCATAGTGGAAAAACTGAGAACAGAACTGTTAGGTCCTACGCAGAGTTAACCATCAGGATTGTTTGCTGCACTATTGATTTCTCCATTTGATCGATTAAAGCTTGATTTTGTAATGCAAATTACTGACTCAGCCCTAGCCCGCTGTCTTTGTTACGCTCAGGGCGCGCATGTGCAGTTGGGCTGCCCCAGGACATATTGGATCAAGGATACGAGCTCCCACGAGCAAGTCAGTGCATTCAGTGTTCGCCAGACACATCGCAGTTCATACCAGGCTGTGGCTTAAAATATTTCTTGTTTGCCGCTTCCCCTTGTTTTCAAGATGGATTTGAGAATCTTTGTTGTCGTGTATGTGTGTGCTTCCCCCCCCCCCCCCAGCTGCTCACAAACAAGTTCCAGCTGTTCAGGAGGAAGCAGCTTCCGAATATAAAGTTCCTGCAAAAATCAACGTGCTAGTGCAGCCGCTGCTCCAAAAAGGAAAAAAAGCAGAGCCCAGCAGTTCCCTGTGTGCTCCCCCTTCTGCGGCCTACGCACGCGCTTTTCACGCTTGGCTCTGCAGCTAGGCCGCCCCGGGCACCCGCGCGTTACTCGTGCTTGCGCCCCAGGGCTCGCACGGAGAGATGCGAGGCTTTGAGGCGGGCTGCCACGCTGGGGTTTCCGTGCGTGATGGCTTTCGCTGGTTAGGCTGCGATTCCGCACACATGCACGCACAAAAATACAATCGGGATTACAGAGAGGATCAAAACCAGACTGGGAGCCAAAAAGGTCAGACGGCTGGGGGGGAAAATAGGAGGGCAGCGCAAAGGAGGCGTGGCTGCGGTGTGTGTGTGAGCTGTGTGATGGTGTGCGCTGCATTTATGGCTTTTAAGTAGTGTATCGAGCTCAAGGCCGTACCCAGTGCAGTCCCAGTGCTGCTTAGAAAGGAACTGGGGGAAAAAAGTTACTGGGAAAGTGACAAGAGCTTTTGGGGACTGACGGAGCTGAATAACTGGGCTTGTTTGGCAAAGACAGGGCTGGAAAGTGAACGGCAGAGTGTTTTCAGTTGGTAAACAAAAAGTGAGATTAAGGTTTTTTTAAGCGCTCACCAGGACCGGGAAGAGAAGGGAGTTGGGTTGTAGCAGGGGCAACGGAGGAGAGGTGTTTGTTGAGCACATTTCGCTAGGCATAGCGAGGCTCGGGCAGGGCTTGAGCTTGGCAGGTAAAGCCCGGCTTAGACGAACCTCTCTGGGGGTTGCTCCGTTGGAGCTGTGCTGGGGACGCGGGGACGTTGGGCTGCCTCAGCGCTTGCAGATGACCCCGCTGCTTTGGGAGGTGGTTTAGGGTTCGAGCTAACTAATGCCTGCGGGGCAGCGCCGGGGCAGACCCTCGGCGGGCGGTGAAGGAAGGTCCCGGGGAGGAAGGGCAGGGAAGGGGGCAAGGCGGGGGGATGGGCCGCAGCCCGCTGCCCCCTCCCCAAGCCCAGCCTCCCCC